AAATCAAATTTGAAAATTCGGGACAAATTTGTAGATCGTTGCGCGGAAAATTTTCCCAATATCCTTTCCCAATACCCTTTTTTTCCCCCTGTTACACACGCTTCTGATCGAAGAGAAACGGGGGGAAAGTTTCACCCCCAAGGCGAAAGGGTGAGAGCCTCAAAGAAACGGCAAGATAATTAATCTGGAATCTATTCAACAGCCATTACCTCGCTCCTAGACTGATTAATTAACCAGCAGCTTTGTTTATACAGTCCCTCGACTATTACCGACTACTTCGCCAGTTAAATTACTTGCACGGCGACGTGAGACGCGCTCGCACTTTTCTGTCCCTCCTAAGACTACCTCTACCCTCTCAATCCTTCTCCTCTCCCCTTTCCATCCCTGGCATTTGGGGTGGGGAAGTGAATCTCGTCGCGGCCCGCAACCGAGAAACCCGGGGAAGGGAATCCTGTCAGATGGATTCTGCGAAGCGTGAAATTGTCGCGCGACCGATAAACCTTTAAATACGAATTAGCGGCACTCGTGCCACGCGAAACCTGGCGTTTCCACGCACCACGTGCCATCCACCCTGCTCTGCCCCCCGCTATAATTAGTATCCGGTTCCCGCGGCCAAGCGCGGGATGACACCGCCATATTCAAAAAGGTAGGGGGTTTGCAGGGAAGAGTGGGGGGAGGACACTCGTTCGATTAGCGGCCGATAGCCGTACGCGTAATTAGTTTTAGCACGCGCGACCCCCCGCCCCGAAAACTCGCATCGCTCCGGACGCCCCGTTTGGCGCTGTGCCACGCTTTCGGATTTGCTTTCGGGATTCAAGGGACAATCGTACGTGAATGTAACCCCATCGTGGCACGGAGCAATCCGTATGGGAGAAATTTCAACGTGTGGATATTTTTTTTTTTTTTAGTATAAAGGTGAAAGGATGTAGAACGAGAGGGAGATGAAGAAAAAAGTGAATTAATTTTTGCAGACTACTATGATTTTGTTTCTTTTTTTTTACGATGATGCGGAGTGAAAGGGAATATCGAGTATAGAACGTTGATATCGAGAGTAAGTTGATCGATGGCATGGTTGGATACAGAGTCGAAGTTT